ATGGAAGCAACCTAAATGTCCATCAGTAGATGAATGGATAAAGAAGATGTGGTACATATACACAATGGAATATTATTCAGCCATAAGAAGAAAACAAATCCTACCATTTGCAACAACATGGATGGAGCTAGAGGGTATTATGCTCAGTGAAATAAGCCAGGCGGAGAAAGACAAGTACCAAATGATTTCACTCATATGTGGAGTATAAGAACAAAGGAAAACTGAAGGAACAAAACAGCAGCAGAATCACAGAACCCAAGAATGGACTAACAGTTACCAAAGGGAAAGGGACTGGGGAGGATGGGTGGGAAGGGAGGGATAAGGGCGGGGAAAAAGAAAGAGGGCATTATGATTAGCATGTATAGTGCGTGGGGGGCACAGGGAGGGCTGTGCAACACAGAGAAGACAAGTAGTGATTTTACAGCATCTTACTATGCAGATGGACAGTGACTGTGAAGGGGTATGTGGGGGGGACTTGGTGAAGGGGGGAGGCTAGTAATCCTAATGTTCTTCATGTAATTGTAGATTAATGATACCAAAAAAAAAAGTAGAACTCAAAGACCTGATTCAGACAATATGAAACAGAAGAAATTATTCTGATGAAACAGTTAGAAAATCTTTACAATCTCTTGATATTTTAGGAGCAGACCAGTAATCAAGGAAACTTTGCCCTTTTTTTTTTTTCCTCCAAGGCCCTTTTATTAGGGGAAGGCCCCCTTTATCGCACAAGACTTCACATGTGTATCAATCAGATCAGTCCCTAAAAATTAGGGAAAAACAAAGCAGATGTACTTTTTATATATATTAAACATAAATTAAAAGAATTTATAAAATGGTCACCTTTCTTAGCAGAGTATATTTTGAATGCACCTCCAAGTTTAAGTTGTTTAAGCTGTTTCTGTTTTGTTTTCCAATAATAAATAAATAAAATGTGTTCTTAAGTCTTGGATCCACCTATGCCATAGCAGGACTCTGGGTCACGACTGGCTTTTCTCCCCTTGTCACTCCTGTGTGCAGTGTGTGGGTGTACAGAGGTCACCAATGTCACTGGCCCATCAGGGTACTGGCTATCTTTTCGGGGTGGCATCCGCTCATTGACTCGGTCCAGACCTCGGGCTTCTTCAAAACTCCGGATCCTGTGCTGAAGTGAAAACCCTCTGATGGCTTCCCGGGCCTCTACCGCTTCTACTGTGGCCGTCTCAATGGTCTGTTTTCCTCCTGAGAGGACCCCCAGAGGGAGTGTACCCATAGGAGTCAGGCCCTTGAGGGTCAGCACACTCTCACTCTCTTCCCACAGAATTGAAAAGACCCGCGCCATCTTCCCAATGGCTCTGATTTTATTCTTGATGATCTCCTTTCGAACTGTGATGCCTCCTTCAATTTCATCATCGGAAATCAATTCATCATCAGAGCATATGTTGAGAATGTTAACCAGCATCTCTGTGACTTTCTCCCCAACAAAAGGCAAAGACCACGTGAAAACATCCATGAAGTTTGGAAGCCAGTAGGGGTGTGGAGAACAGTTAAACTGCCTGATATTCATGACATTGTTTTCATATTTTAACACAGCAGCTTATTCATCAGTCTTGATTCCAAATGACTTTTGGCAGTTCAAAAAATCAAATCCACCCTCAAAGGTCGAAGATTTCCCATCAAGAGCCCAATAAATTAAGAGATAAAAACCAAGTAGCAGCCTAAATCCTGAGTTTCTTAGCCTTTGTCCTGTAAGACTTTTCTTCCTTATTTAAAATCTTTATTGTTATAGACATCTAGGTAATTGGGGGCAGAGAAAATTGTAATGAGTGATGGAAAGCCTGTTGTTTGGCTCTTCCTATACATTCGATACCCAGCATCTTGGGCTTCATGGGCTCTGATTATTGGTAACAAATTATTGTTTTGCAAAAATTCACAAACTGCAGGGTAACTGTAGAAATAAGAGCACCCTCGGACAGTGTTGTGGGTATAGTGCTCCAAGGACTTTTCATTGAACTTTGCCCTTTTAACAAACAAAAAACAAAATCTTAATCTTGTAGTACACTTGATACTAAAACTTGTTTAATCTTAGCAAGACCACACATTAAATTCCTCTTCACAGAGATTCCTTTCCCAGAATTCAACAATTTTCCATTTTACTTTTAAATTTTGTCCTGTTTTCCTGCCTTCCCAGCCTTTTTATAGGACAAAATTGTTTTCTTAACAAAACTACATTTCTATTCTTCATTCCTTCTTTTACCTAAAGCACACATTTTACTTGTCTTGCATATGGAGATGTTTTCCTTATTATTTTAAGTAGCCCTAATTAGAACTTAAACCCTTAGAAACCTTAATTTTCAGTGAAAACTAAGAAGTAAGCAATTGTGAACTGTTACACTCAAGCATTCTTTAGATTGGCAAATTTATGAGTATATTTGATAGTTTCTAGAAACATGTGCTTCTTCATAGTACAGTCTTTCAGTGAGTATAAAATGTTTACTAACCCAAATTATTTTTAGTTTCTCTGTAAAAAGGAATCTAAAAGTAGATAAACATATGTTCAGTAATTTATGTTTCAGTTTATCTTATTTGGAAATTAACTAGATATTGAATGATTTTAACTCAACTCATTAGTATACCAAAAATTTAAGGTTTCAGATTACTGTAACTCCTGGGAGAGGAAATCCTGGGGTAAAATACCTCTAAAACTGAAATCAGTCAAAGGGAGAAATAAAAGTTTAAAACGTGTTTATTGCTTACAAACTGCAGTCCGGGCTGTTTCCCTTTCCTGCTCTAGTAGAAGCAAGCAAGACCTCCCCCTAACCTCTCAGGTTCAGATAAGCCCTCTGTTGCCCGGGTAATTGTTCACTGACGTGGAGATGAACTAACTCTATCCACTCCTGAGGAACACCTGTTGATATGCAGATGCACTAAAGCCAGGTGAGATATCCTGGAAATATTACAATTTTACCCACAATTACCAAAAAGATTTTTCATGTTATTTTGATGTACACATACCTTAACATGTAATTATTGCTAAAAAGTTCACATGCTACACCTATCTAGTTTATTTGTTTTTAACAACTAGGCCTAGATTATTTACATCACAAGGCACAGAAAGTATTTAAGTTCAAGACAATCCTGTTTTCAAAGGTCCTAATTTTTATAATACTTAGTTAGAAACATGTTAAGATGAATAGGCAAGGCCTGGATTTTTAGATAATCTGGGCTTTGAATTACTTTTAGACTCTTCATCCCTTGTTTTTTAAATATTCAATTTGCATAACAAGGACTGATATATGCACATATGTTGAAATGGTTTTCTTTTCCTAAGGGTACAATAAGCTTAGAGGAGAAAGTCTAAAAAAATTCTACCATACCTTAATATCAGTTTCAAGTTTGGCCAAAAATGCTTTCATAGTTATTACATCCTTCTTAACATACAGTCAGATGTCAGCTGGGACAAACAGTAAATATTTCTGGTAGTATTAAACAACCCCATGGACCCAAGAAGCATTCTCAAAGGGATGCAAAAGATATTTGCAATATCTAGAGTTACTCCCAAATATAACTAGAAAGAAGGAACATTGAAGTGCCAGGCAGGCAGAAAGCCAAGTAAATGAGCAACAGGGCAAAAGCTATGCCAGTGGGTCTGGATTTTCCAAAGAAAGAGTATCATGAAATCCCATTTCCCTCCTCTTTCAGCCCCAGAACACTGGCCTTCTGTCCATCTTTTCCAGGAGGGCCTATTAGAACTTCTTATCAACTGTTTTCTCCTTAAGAGGGTTGTGAGTAGTCAGTAATTTTTTTAACTCCTCTGTAAATTTAGTAGGATTTTCTGAAAGTGGAGATTAAAGGGCTTTAAAGTGTCTGCTGCTGTCCATGGGACATGAAAATTATTTTTATCATTTTTTTCAGTAGAAAGCCTAGGTTATATTTGCAAAAGACATTGCATGGGGGTGCCTGGGGCCAGTAGAGCCTGATGACAGAGCCCTGGAAGGTGAGAGCTGAGCAAGGCTTCCTGCCAATCTCAGAAGCTTATTAAATTCATCTCCTGATTTCAGCATTTACATGAGTATTTGGGCCTAGAGATTAGGTCAAAGTACTCTTTATACATCTGGGAAAGATGTAAAAAAACAGCCATATGGGGCTAGATTTTAAGGGGAATTTACGCTGGATGTGGAAATAATTTTTGTTCTAAGCCTAGTTTCTGTTCTTTTTCTCTTGTCAAAGTAATCCCTAAGGCTAGCCACTATACTAATAAGAGAATTGAGAGCTCTTCCATAAGCACATTTTTTTCTTTCATATATAGCCAAGTTAAAGGATCCATTGTTTGGCCACTGATGAGTAGGTCCTTAAAAGTGACTCAAACCAATAAGCCTTTCTATGGAAAGACTCAGAGGGAACTTTCCAGGCATAAACTAAGGATACAAGGGGTGTCCCTAGAGGGCATAAATGATGCACCTTCATGGTCTGCAAAGTTCACTCCCACAGTCTAAGAAAGCAAAGACCTTCATTGCGCAGGTGGTAAGGATGGTGTCGTGGGCTCTGGTCTGTCACAAATGTAAAACACCAGTCACAGACCCGCTAATCTGTGACCCTGGGCAGGGGAAACTGGAATGGAACTTTTCCAGCACGAACAAGAGACAACAAAAGTCCCTATGGGATGGGACCTCTTATGACAAACTCCCAAGAGCTGGCACTCCTGGACAAATAACAAATTTTTGTAGCCACAGTGAGACTGCCACCAGGTGTGTGCCAGTATATTCATCCTCCAGGTGGCAGAGGCCACAGAGAATGTCCCATTGGTCACAGTGCAAGCTCTGAAGACATACAACAATACAAAAGGGACAAGTGATGGAAAGGCACAAAGAAAATCTGGAAAGAAGATGGATCAACAAAAAACAAGAGTATGTGACCAGATTTACCAGAGTAGCCAAGCCCGAAGAACCAGTTCCGCAATATGTTATCCTGCTAATCCAAATTTAGAAAATGAGAAAAAGACTCTTACCATTTCACTCCATTGGATCCTGCAGACAGAGATTCGGGGGGCTGATGTGGTAAGAAACCTTCCCTTCTGCCAGCTGTTGTCAGATGTCTTAGAATCTCTCAGCTGTAGCAGCCTTGGAGTGAGCCATGTCCAGTAAGTTTAAGTATTCTGCCAACTATGCCAGCTGTGGGGAGGAAGAAATTTCCTTATCCCTAGAGGTTCTTCTACCTGGTCTAAGAATCAAATTGACACATGACAGATTAACAGGAGAATAAAACCAAAGTTTAAATACTAATCACGTTCCTACGGGGAAGCCACAGAGATGGGCTCCAAAGACAAGTCAGGGAGAATGAGGTATATGTGTCATCCTGAACCAAGGAAAAGGGCAGGGGTCTGAAGAGAAGCAATTCACAGGAATATGAAAAAGTAAATGCTTGATAAACTAATGTTTGTGGGGCCACACAGTACCAATGAAGGGGCAGGAAGAGAAATTTTAGCAGAGATTTAGCCACATCTCTCCCTGTCTATCACCACCTAGATCACATTGCAGTATAGCTGTCTTAAGGAGACAGCTCTCCTCCTGGAGCACTTCCTCTAGATTCATTGTATGCAGTTATGGGAGGGAAGGTCAAAGTTTCTTCCTGAGTCTTTGAGCCTTGATGGTTTTCAGCTCGCTCAAAAGAATCTGCATGTCGCAATGGCATATCTTGGGGTGGCCCAGCCTTGGTCCTACCAGTCTTACCGTAATTCTCTTTCATCTTATCCTGTTCCTAAACAGTGTTCAGTGGAGGCAGCTCTTCTTTGTCCAGAAAAGACATGTGGCAGTTCCATGACTTTCCTGATGACTTTTTTTTTTTCGACTTTGTGAGTTTTGATAAATTTGTTTACCCATGAAACCACTGCCAAGGTCAGGATACAGAATATTTCCCTCATTCCAGAGAGCATTCTCTGCTCTTGTGCTGCCAATGTCCAGGCAGCCAATAACCTGCTCTCCATCCTGATGACTTTTAGAGTGAAGTTCTAGAGTGACTTCAAGTTGCAAATCACAGTCTTCATTCCAGAATTACAAGTTTCACTCACGGGTGGTAACAGGGCCTCTCTGCTCACCTAACTGCATTTTTCTGAGCTCCCAGCTGGAGAAGGTTTTAGGCATTTCAGGTTTTAGTAATTTAGGAATGATCCGAGGCCTTGAATGCAGCAGGTACTCTCACAATCAGCCTCTCCAAAGCCCTGAGGGGTGCAAACCACAGTGGGACATGGCCCTTCCTCTGAGCTCCTAGATCCAATAACCCTGCCTCTTCCCTCAGTTCCCCAGTCCAGGGGGGCTGGTAGCTGTTTCAGTGGTTATTACTTCTGCATTCCCCTGTTGCTCTCTTTGTGACTTTTCACAACTCCAGAGCTTGTTTAACTAATTCCCCATATAAAATTTTTCCTGATGAGTTACCTATTTTGGATTCTGTCTTCCTGATCAGACCCTGATTGTACATTGGTTATTTAATAATTTCCAACTGATCACAATTGAAAGGAGGTGTAGATTATGCTAAATATAACAACCAATTATCTGTGGAGGAAATGATGAAACATTTGCCAATGTCAGCCAGGTTTCATAAAATACCACTCTCTCGGGTAAGATTCCTCAAGGGAGGAACAACCTAAGACAGGCACAGTTGCAGGGGGGTCATCATGTGAGAAATTGGGGATCAACAGAGGTGAGGCTTAGAACCTCACCCCCCCCGGTTTTGAGAGAAATCTTCTGCATCCGTGGATGCTTTATTGCCCTTGTCTAGCTTGGATTAACACTTAGTCTACAGGCACACACCTGATCATCTAAATTTGCTCTCTTACAGCACTAAACTATGTTTTCTACCTTTATCTTGCATCTACCTACCACTTCAGCATTTTATTAAAAAT